ACTTTTTAACATTAAATTTAATAATAATAACAAAATAATAACAGTTTCGCGCTTACAGTATCTACTCACTGAGTTTTGTCCGATAGTTTTTTTTTTTAATAATTATTTAATTAAAATTTAAAATTTCGGATATTTGGTTTAAAATTTTGCTGCAACTTTGCAGAATTTTTATAAGTTTGCAAAAAGTATATTCGACAATTTTTTTATTGCATAAGTTAATAGTAAAAACAAATATCTTTAAAGCGAGCTTTCTAAATAGGAACGAAATGGCACCATAAATACTTGTTTACCAAATATATTGACTCGTGCGCCACCAATCGGCAAAATCATTTTATGTGGGGCACGCTGGTGAATAATATTTTTACTATGGGTAGACAGTTTTGCCAATCTGCTGTGTGAAATGAAATCTTTTTTGACAACAATAAATTTTTGACAACCACAGAATAAAATATAAAATGAAGTGTAATGAATATTTTAGTAGCGTTTTCTTTTCTCGAATAAATGTTGCATTTATTCTGACCTGCGCCAGGTCTGTCAAGTTTTCGTGTTCTTTTCTCAGCATCTTCACATGCATATTGCGTGCTCTTTCTTTAAAATGTTGCACTCTGATAATGTTGCCATATAAAAAGTTGAAATTTTTTTTTCGAGAAAAGAAAACGCCATAAGAAAACCTCTACCATCATTGATTGCAATTCATCAATTTAAGCTTTTAATCAATGAATGCGTTTGAAACATTAAAAAAATTTGTTTCCTGAAATATTAAATGTAGTGTAATACTTCTTAATTTTTCCACCAGAAACTCAATTTCCTTATATTTTATTGTTTTTGCTTAAATTTAGGGCAGAAGTTTTATACAAATCAACAGTCTTTGCGATTGTCAAAATTTTATAAGCATTTGTCAAAAATTTCACTAGCTCATGACGCTTTTATTCACCCCATACTTTTCTTGAATGAAATATCGCACCGTCTGTCTACACCATTATGTAAAACTCAGGGTTGCTGCTTTTGACAGTTAAACCAGTTCACAACACTGCTTATCTCACAGCTGATTTTGTGCGACCTCATTTCTGATCAATTTTTCAATGCCAGCTACAATGTGATCTTGCGTAAACATACATGGCCAAAGTGTTCAATTGCTTCAATTTTTATCATCAAACTACACTAGAGTATTTAAGATAAATGATTTCTTTGAAAAGATTTCGGGTGTCTGCCTTTTAATGAACAAATGGACACGTTGAAGTGTACCGACGCTTAGTACTTGGTTAAAAATGTTGGTGCGAGTGGCTGCATACGGATGGCGAAATATTACGCCTTCAACGACATCCTTAATACGCCGACTAAGGCACAGTGAGGGCGTTGTATTAGATAATTTGTTTAATATGAAAATTGATCTAATATTAAAAACTTTGCAATTGAGGGTAATATATTACCTTTAGAAAAACTACGTTGTCATCATTAATGTCTTTTGTTTTTTATAACTTTGTACTAAAAGAAAATTTGTACAATCGTTGTTATAGGTGTTTGGTCTTGGGAACAAAACGTACGAACACTACAACAAAATGGCCATTTATGTAGATCAACGTTTAGAAGAACTAGGCGCTACACGTGTCTTTGAACTTGGCCTTGGAGATGATGATGCAAAGTAATACATTGATTCATCCAATAGATCCTATAATTTATTAATACATAATAACCTATAACTGAAACCTTTTCAGCATTGAAGACGATTTTATAACTTGGAAAGATCGTTTTTGGCCCGCAGTTTGCGACTTCTTTGGCATTGAAGGTGGAGGTGAGGAAGTGCTATTGCGGCAATACCGGCTTCTGGAACAACCAGACGTGCATTCCGATCGTATTTACACCGGAGAAATTGCCCGTTTACACTCACTGGGAAATCAGCGTCCACCATTTGACGCTAAAAATCCATTCCTCGCGCCGATCATTGTCAACCGCGAGTTGCACAAGGGTGGTGATCGGTCATGCATGCATATCGAATTGGATATTAGTGATTCGAAAATGCGTTACGACGCTGGAGATCATGTTGCTATGTACCCTATTAATGATACTGAGTTGGTGGAAAAATTAGGCAAGCTCTGCAATGCTGATCTCGGCACTGTATTCTCGCTTATCAATACAGATACCGATAGCAGTAAGAAACATCCATTCCCCTGTCCAACTACGTATCACACGGCACTAAAGCACTACTTGGAAATTACTGCCATACCAAGAACGCACATTCTCAAGGAATTGGCAGAATATTGCACAGATGAGGCCGACAAAGAATTTCTTCGCAGTATGTCTTCCATATCCCCTGAAGGCAAGGAAAAGTATCAGAGCTGGATTCAGGATGCTTGTAGAAATATTGTGCACATTTTGGAGGATATAAAGTCGTGCAAACCGCCTATAGATCACATCTGCGAATTGCTGCCTCGTCTACAGCCCCGTTATTACTCTATATCGTCGTCCTCTAAGGTAAATGGAATTGATTGCTGTAAAAGATTAATAAAAAATTGCCTACTTTTTAAAATTATTTTCAGTTGTATCCAAACCATGTGCATGTCACTGCTGTATTAGTGCAATACAAAACACCAACTGGACGATTAAATAAGGGTGTGGCCACGACGTATTTGAAAGAGAAGATACCTGGGTCTGAGGATGTGCGCGTACCTGTGTTTATACGCAGGTCACAATTCAGGCTACCAACAAAACCCGAAATACCTGTAATCATGGTTGGACCCGGCACTGGATTGGCTCCATTCCGTGGATTCATTCAAGAGCGGCAATATCTGCGTGATGAAGGTAAAGTTGTTGGGGAAACGATTTTGTACTTTGGTTGCAGAAAGAGGAACGAAGATTACATTTATGCGGAGGTAAGATGCTTGTAATGCTTTTCTTAGCATAAATGTCATGTTCATTTCCATAGGAACTTGAGGAATTCCTAAAGAAAGGAACATTAACGCTGAAAACGGCTTTCTCACGTGACCAAAAGGAGAAAATCTACGTTACCCATTTGATTGAAAAGGATGCTGATTTGATTTGGAACGTGATAGGGGTGAACAAGGGACACTTTTACATTTGCGGGTACAGAAATAGTTAACATCAAAAAATATCAAAGTACATACTGAATACTCAATATTTTTCTCTATTTAGTGATGCAAAAAATATGGCTGTCGATGTTAGAAATATTTTGGTCAATATACTAATGAACAAGGGTAACATGAGCGAAGCTGATGCTGTGCAATACATTAAGAAAATGGAGGCACAAAAACGTTACTCCGCTGACGTCTGGAGCTAGAAATACAATATAAGAGATTTTTAAGAAATCAGCAACAAAATAGCCTTTTAATATTTCCTCGTTAAGTAGAAGAATTAATGCTATGAAGACAAAGTGTGCAATTAGTATAAAAACGAGCAGAAAATACCCCGTATTGAATCGGAATTCATCATATTCCTCCGTCTAAATGAATCCCTGTCCCCTTATGCATAATAAACTGTGCGAATGCTCATTATTTCCCAGCTATTATTAATTTTACTTTCTGATTACAATGCAAAAGAGAAAGCATTCTAGTTAAACAAATTACCGGGTTTGGAGTTTTCTGCACATATGTATGTAAGAGAATTATGAAAAAAGTTAATACTAATTATAAGACGATCACATTTTATAGAAACAAATTGTTTTAAGTGTAATTAAGTGTAGATATGTTAATAAATGTACCCAAAAAATATTACATATTTATTCTGTATAGTGGTGTAAAAATTATGTAAACCAATGTGCAATTTACAGCGAAGAAGAAGTCAATAAACAAAATTTTATTTTTTTTATTAATTATAAAAAATTTTGTATTTTGTAAATAAAATATATAAGAGCAAGCTCAGTGCATAGTTTTTTTTTTGAATCAAACTGAAGTGAGTGAATTGGTACGATGGGGCACGGGGAATGCTAGATTTTAAAATGGCTTAAAATATATTACGAGGAACCGGCATATGAATATCTGATGATTTAATGTGTAGTTATCTTCTGCGACGAATAAAATTAGCAAATACCTACATATGTATATTTTTCGAAACTTAAGCGGTATTTTCCATTTTTGTGTTTTATAAAACTTGCTTTCGGATGTAAACAAACAACAGCTGTTATAGCAATTTGAATTTGAATCTGTTTCGGGCACGGAGAAGAAGATATTGGCGCTCTCTATTACCCATTTTTCTAGCCTGAGGAACGCTTTCCGGGCTATTTTGGGCACACGTGGGATCCCTGCAAGTAGCCTGACCTATGATTATCGGTTAAATTAGTGGGAAAACTGACTGAAACTTTTCGTCAGTTTAGTGGTTAGTTTTGTATGGGCTTGGGGAAAAAAGTGACCAAATAAAGTTTTTTTTTTTTTTTGGAAATAAAGACGAAATTCGACTTTTTCTAGAAAATATTAGATTTTATCCTATCTTTAGCACCACAAAGTTCGATTTCGATAATTCGTCATTTTAGAGCTAAAAGTCGATTAAGAATGGAATCGGATATCGAATTCACCCATCCCTATAGCCTATTTGCTTTAAAGGGAGGTTCTGCTTTCTAACGATAATTTTTGTTATAATCTTGTAAAATCCGCCCGTTGCCATTTCTCTTTCTCAAAACGCGGCAGTCTGCGATTTCGGCTTGACGAAAAAAAGACTGAATGTTCGAATAAATCGCTGCAGCAAAATCGCGTAAGTGTGTGGCTGTTAATTTAAAACTACGGTCGGCATTGTTTTAATTTTCGTCGGTACAGGTTCGCATCGGCGGAATCCCACAGGTGTGTGGTTGCCTTAATTGTTTTCTAAAACTATGTTCACATATCAATATTATATCAATCAAAGCTCGTTTCTTAATCACCCCGTTTACACAGGCAAATNCTAGGTTCACACAGAGAAACTTTTGTTGCTCATTATCGGCAATTTCTTTTATGGTGTACGAGACGAACGAGAGCACAAAGCGTGTTGCCCGGGCACGAGCAACTCGGTGCCCTTCCCCCTTCCTCGTCTCCCCCTCTCCCACAAGTTGCCGCGACTAAAGTTTCTCCATCTGAACCTAGGTTAAAGGCGGCTTCTTGTTATTGAAATTGCTTGTGTAACATTAAGGAAAACTATTTTTCACCATTTTCCAACACTTCGTCCTTCTTAACCGTTTCGGATCAGCTGACAAAAATTGTTTGGCGCCTCATCTTTTATTTAATTTTACATTTTATTTTGCCCCGTATTTTAAAGGAAATAATCCTTAATTCATAAGTTGGCTGAAGTAAATAGAAATGTCTACACGTCGAAAAGACATTTGGAAGCTGCTGTACAACTTAGTTTCTCGCGATGGTACAGATTTGAATGATGTATTTGCATTTGTTGATGACATCCTATGCCGCGAGCCCTCGCTTATACGGCCCTCGTTACGCGAACTTAATAATCGCTTTCAGGACACATTTGTACTATGGATTATCAACAAATTTGTAAAAGAATTGGGCCAATCGAATACCAGTGACAATGCCAATAGCTTTAGTATTGAGGGGTAAGTAGGCATTTTGCAAATTTTTATGCACTGATAATGAGTTGGGACAAATTTTAGAATACACGACCGTAACATCCAACTGCAACAGAAAATTATTCATTCTTGCTTAGTAAATCGAGCACTCTTATTCGAGCGACTTGTGGCTGCTTACGTGAAGGCCATTGAGCAGCTGACGAACGCATTGCAATTGATGGACGAGCAACGTGAGACGACGAATAAAGTAGATTCAGATCAAAATCGATGTATTGAGATTACCGCATTCTTTAGCGAGGACATGTGTTTGCGTGAAATCGATGCAAATTTTTCTTTTCATGATATACGCATTCCACTCCCACAAGTAGATGAACGTGTTCGTTCCCTATTGCAAGTGCTTCAAAACGCATCATCTATTGGATATTCATTATTTCCTCAGTTGTTTGCTGACTCGCTGCTTAGTGCACTGCAAGCAGTACGCGAATGTGATTTAACTACCAAGCTAATGGCGTTGCGTTACTGCGAGAGCATCTTTTCCTCGGCATGTGGATGCACTGAAGTTTTGGAGCACTATAGTCAACTGACTATGCAAGCAATTGCTTTAATATGGGGACAAGTGCCACTTTGGTTGCATGCACACTGCATGCGCCTCCAGGAACTGGACGGTTTGGCAGAAGTGAGCAAATCAATATTGCGAGCGCTAATGCGATTCGGTAACCAGTTTCAATGGACTCGACGAGCCTTGACAATGTTGGTTATTAGTATACTGTATAATTGTGCCGAATTAGAGACGAAAGGTTGGGATCAAAACACTTGCCAAAAATTAAAGGAACACATTCGCGTTCTTGTGGAATTTATAATAGAATTGCCATTGAAAGAGGGAGAGGAGGAAGAGATCTTAAAAGAAGCCGACAAACTCATTTTATTATCAGAACGAAATGAAAGTGTGTTACTGCTATTGGCTGTGATTCTGGCCCATCGATGTGAGCAAAGTTCAGAGCGATTACGTGTTTTGAAGTTCTTCAAGCAAAGTATCTTTGGCATTCTAAATAAATCTGAACTTAGTGTGGATGATCTGAAGCGGTTTAAGCCGTTGTTGCGAGCTTTTATATACGCCGAACATCGCCGCTGCCAACGCATGCAATTCAATGCAATGCACAAGTATTCTATGAACGAAGTCTTACTGGAGGAATACTATAACAGTATAAATTTATTTGCACCGATAGAAGACGCGGACTACCACATAGAGCTAGATCGGATTGTTTCCAGATACTATGTTAGTTCAAGGTTTGCAAGCCCTAAAGAATTCGAAATTTCAGCCTTGTATATTGAAATTACAGCCCTAATCATGAGCAGTATAAGTTTGAGAAGCTCGCTAAATACGAGCACTCAAACAACGTTGCTTATAGGTATTAGTGACTGGCTGTACATCACAACGCAAGAACGGCGACCTCCGCGCTACTTGCAAGTACTTGCTTTTGAATGTCTACGTGCTCTTGTAAGCCTAAATATAGGCGAATCCGATGAAGTAGTAAATTTTTTACGTAATCGGTATGAGGAAATCATGCGTTACCTCTTCGTCAAAGAACCGATAGTCGACTCCGTGGAATTATTGACTAGATTGCGAAAGGCTTTCTGTGAGCACTTTCATACTTTAATTGCCTGCGGCTGGATATCCCTGGAGAGTGTGTTGCGTGATTTTGTTGTCGCTGTGGAAGATATGCCAACACTATTGGTATCTATGCTACGAAACTCTTACTGCTCGGGGGCTGGTGCAAGCACGTGCAGCATGTTTCTCCGTTTGTCGCCTTGGGCCACATCTGACGTTCCCTTTCAGGAGCATGTCATTGTTTGTCGGCTTTGTAATCCTAATGAGTGCACATCATCTGCGCAGGTAGAAGCGTATATGCGCGCACACAAAGCTATTTTGGTAAGGTGTAAAAACGAAGGCAACAACCTTGCAAGTGGGCGTAAAACCCATCCTCTGCTGCCGGCGGCAACACGTCGCAAATTGTGTGAAACTTTGCTGACACAGCACAACTCAGATTTTACACCAATTGGTCGTCACTTGGAATTGTCGCGCATAAGCCCAGAAGACTTGTTGACTGTCTTGCAACGGGCTCAAGATGTATCTCAGCTGAATTTGCAGGTATTGCATTCACTCATACCACAATTGATTGCGATCGGTGGGGAGCAATTTACCATGAAATTGGCAAAGTTCATATTGCAGCATACGCAGAAGACACTGCAACCACAACCTGCAACAACCTCCACGTCTGCGCGACTATCAACATCGGATATTTCGAAGCGACAGAGCCAACTGAAAATACTGGAACTGATTGCCTGCTGTGCGCATAGCGATATAAGCGAAATGTGGCTTTTTCACTTTTTCAAACTGACTTTCTTTTATCTTTTGCACCCGCAATCCATGGTCGTGCAGGAGGCTGTGCTATGTGCGACAGAAATGTGTGCTAAACATGGTTTGCAGCCTGTGCGCTTATGGAATTGGTACAAACGCGATGCGCTAACTTTGTTGGTACAGCTAGCAGTGCAGATTTTCTTGCAGAATGGCGTGCGCTTGACACGTTCATTAAAAGCGGTAAGTAAGCACTTACAAGTACTCTTTGAAAATTTACATTCAAATACAAAATATGACTTCTTCATTAACAGTTCACGAAAATGTTAGGCTTTTCCTGCGTACAAGAATTTATTTGTCGGTACTACCGACTTTTGACGACAATGATTCTGCCATATTCCGTGAAGGAGCCACTCTGCAAAGGACTTCTTGTGTGCATTTCGAAAGTGACACGCAAACCCATATCAACGATTTTCGTCGCCTCGTTCCTTCGCATCTATACACATATCTATTTGACAGAAGAGGTAGAGGTGGGCAACAACTGCATTGAATTGATACTTAAATGCACCGAATTCAGTCTAAAAAAACTGATGAATACGGATGTAAAGGTATGCACTGCTTAGTTTGTCCTTCATACTATATAAAAAATGAAGGCCCTATTTTAAAATACGCTCATGTTAATTTCATACAATTTTCACGTTGCAATTTTGTGTAAATCTTCTTTGACCATACAGCAAACAGTCTCCGAGTTTCTCATCTACTTCAATCGCAATCCTCAGTTCGTTATGAAGGCATTTCAGTGTTTACTCTTCAACGATGGTGGTAGCTCTCGCGCTATAGCTTCCGACAGCAAAACTGGTGCCATTGTTCAATCTGAAAGTAATCACACAAGTGATTTTGCGAAATTTATAGCCGATCGCTTCTTGGGCGTAATCACCTACTTCGAGACTTGCCTTGCTGAACCAACGTTCGAGAAACCGTTAAAGGAGGAGGCACTCTATAGTCTCGGGCAAATACTACGTTTTGTTGGCGCTAAACATGTCACACAATTCCGTTTTAAAATCATCGCCATGTTGAGTTTTGTTTTATCACTGCAGGATCGTCACTTGCAGGCAATCTGCTTAAAGATCTGGAACATTTTCCTACATATTGTCAACATTCAAGAGTTGGGCCCGTCGCTGAGCCGCATTGTGGCTTCACTGCAACCACTGTTGATGCATAGCGAAGTCGAGGTGAATGCCCTCTATGAGTTTGTAATACTAAAGAATGACAGCTTGCTGGGCGCTTACATTCCCGACTTATATTTCGTGGAACAATTGAAGGGAGTTACGCCTGCTATACGTCAGTGCGTTGCCCGCCAAACGGAGATATTGAAAAGTGAGCGCTCTACATTGCTCGACAAGATTGCGTTTCTTTACCGGCAAATCACCAATGAAAATTCGCAAGTGCGTATTTATGGTCTCACGTATTTGCGGAATTTCATTGCTACTCATCGTGCCGAAATTAACCATATGGTGCTTAGCGAAATGGTCATCGATCCCTTAATTGAGAATGTAGTAGATACACTCGTGGCTGGCTGCAAGCACGAAGACTCCAATTTGCAGCTTTCATCGGCAAAGTGCCTGGGTGAATTGGGCGCCATTGATCCCAGCTACATAACTACTAACTATACATTCGAGCAGCGCGATGATTTGCCGCTAAGTGTACACACAGATGGATTTGCTATAATGGCACTTACCGAGCTCTGCCGCGCATATCAATTCCAAAAGGACACAAAATATGTTGACAATTTTTCCCTGGCTATACAAGAAACCCTAGCGGCTTGCGGCGTGTCGCCGCTTGAGAATAAAAAGTTGAATGTCTGGGAGTCGATGCCAGCGCGCATGCGGCAAGTGATGGAGCCGCTGCTTACATCTTGCTATACAAATTCACGCCGTGAGAGCACTTGTACCGATCATCCAATCTTTAACAGCGGTTACTGTCGCAGCTACTCAGATTGGGCATTCAACTGGGCAGCACGTCTTATTGATTTTGTGCAAACGGATGAAACCAAACACTTGCTGAATTCCTACAAGCCGAGTATCAAACGCGACAGCAGTATATTGGTCACATTTTTCCCCTATATACTTTTGCATGCATTGCACGATGGCACAGATTCGCAGCGTCAAAAGGTGTATGAAGAATTCGAAACGGTTTTCAGCTTCAGCAGCGTAGGCATCGTTGAGCAACCAGTCTATGAGGCGTCTGGACTGAAAGAGTTTGTCTCCGCCAAGTACGCGGCTGATCTTGCATCGGTGGGTGAATTAGCGAAGAGAACGGGATCCGGTCAGGTAATGCAATACGATGCGTTGGAGCACATTAGTCGCACTTGCACCAAACTCTGTTCAGAACAAATCGATTTCCTGCAGCGTTGGGTGCGTGAGTGGCAGCGTATCAACAGCATTGGTGCCAAAGCGAATGAAGAAGACAATAATTATAAGAATGTGCGCGATTTTCTACGCCGATTTGACAAACTTCTAATAGCAAAGGCGAACTATCATTCGAATGAGTATGCGCGGGCGCTTATGTACCTCGAAGCATACATTGAGGAGGCGGACTCACAACAGCGGTTGCAGGACCAAATTTCATTTTTGATTGAAATACATGGAGAACTATTGGACGCCGATTCTGTTGAAGGTGCCGTATATGTTAAAAAGAGCAGCCTAAGTCTTGGCGAGGAGATCATGGTCAATCGCATCGTAGACCGGCCACAAGAGCTGCAGACATGCTACGAGCAGTTGATGTGTAGCGATGAGCCCATCAGCCAGGAGCATATAAAGGGCATGATCAATTGCTATCTGCGCATGGACACGCCCGAAACAGCACTGTTGATCACAGATGGTCTGTGGCAGAAACTAACTGACCACTACACTGACGACTACTTTAAAGAATGCAAATCGGAGCTATTATGGCGACTTGGACGCTACGATGAATTGCAGGAGTTGCTCGAAGACTCCGTGGTGCGCCGTAAAACGTTCAACTGGAATATTCAATGTGCCGAGGCATTTCTACTTTATAGGCAGCCTATCGTGCATGTACAGACGCCAGATGCACCTACAACAATAACCGATTTCACTCTACGTTTGGATGAGATACGTCGGAACGTGTTGTCGACTATACACATCTGCTCGGGCGTTAAGCAGAAATCCTACCCTCATTCATACGAAGACGTCGTAAAACTCCATTTGCTCAATGAGATGGAGAAGAATAAAGAGCTTACGCATCAAGTGATTGCCAGTTTCGGGGTAGAAGCAAATGCTAGCCATTGTCTCACAAGCGTGCGTGATTTCTTCACCGATTGGGATAGGCGTCTGTGTGTGTTGCAGCCTGTGGTGCGCGTGATGGAGCCAATACTGTGTTTCCGTCGGAATCTTCTAATTGAAAGCAAGCGTCTTCTATCTGCGCAATCAGGAGGAGGCGCCGTCGAGGTGTTACGCCAAAATGTCACTGACGCCATTGATGCCGAAATTGGCAAGCTGTGGCTGCGCAGCGTCCAGATGTATCGCGAAGCTGGAAGTCTGCAGCAAGCGCAACTGTGCATAATGAAAGCGGCGGAGTACGCACCAAAGACGCTTTTCATTGAAAAGGCCAAGCTTTTGTGGCAAAAAGGCGATCAGACTCATGCCTTCAAGTTGCTTGAGGAGCAGCTGGAACGCATCGAAGCACAGTGTGGACGTAATGTGCGCACACTCAACGCTGTGGATCGCGCGCTTTATGCGGAAGCGAAATACTTGCAGGCGACATACAGCGCCGAATCAATGAACAGCTGCGCCGAGTTGAATTTGCGCTACTTTCGCGAAGCCATTCTTGGCAATCACAATTCGGAGAAGTGCTATGTGCAGTTTGCGCAATACATGGAGAAAATCTATGAATCGTTCTCGGCAGAACAACAGCACGGCGATACAGGTCGCAAGCTGTTGCTCGATATTATGTTGAATTATGCCAAGTCATTAAAGAGTGGCTGCGAAAATGTGTACCAATCATTACCACGCCTACTCAGCATTTGGTTAGATTTCACTTCGCGCAGTGCATCCATGTCCGAGGCGGCCACAGGCGATCCAGCGCTCACAGCCAAGGCGAACAGCATGCAGGAGCTGGCTAACAAAATGAACGAACTGATAAACAACTGTGCCAACGCCCTGCCAACGGCTATATTTTACACAGCTTTCTCACAACTGCTCAGTCGCATTTGTCATCCGTCAAACGAAGTTTTCGCCGTACTGCGCACCATCGTTATTAAGCTGCTGGAGCATTTTACACAGCAATCTTTATGGATGCTGTTGCCTATACTTAAGTCGTCACAAACGAATCGGGTGAAGCGCTGCAAACTGATTTTTACAGATTCGCGTCTGGCCAAACCAGCATTCCAAAAGCAATTAAATGATTTCAATATACTAGCCGAACGCCTAATCGAGCTGACAAACAAGGATGTGGCACACGATCGCACTTATGAACTGAGCACGCTTGTCAAACAACTACCAAAATTGTTTGAGGATCCGAAATTTTCCAATATTTTGCTGCCATTCGAAAAGTACATGCAAGCATCGTTTCCACTAACATCCACTTCATCATCATTGGACATAAATCTGTCGCTGGGAAACATTGAGAGATCATCATCATCATCGTCGTCGTCCTCTTCCTCATCAGCGGCGACGTCGAGTCCTTTGTCAGTGCCATCAAATCCATTTCCCTACCAGCAAATCTATATTTCCGGTATTAAGGAGGAAATAGTTGTGTTGCGATCGGCTGCTAAGCCGAAAAAGATCAGCATTTTATGTAATGATGGAAAATGTTACGAAGTCATGGTGAAACCGAAAGACGACTTGCGCAAAGACTTTCGATTGATGGAGTTCAATGGGCTGGTTAAAAGGTTTCTGCATCAAGATTCACAGGTAAGTAGTTGTGTGCTCCTGCCTCTAATGACTGTGCAATTTTTACCGATGCCTGCTTCTTCAGGCGCGTCATCGCTGTTTTCGTATTCGCACCTATGCTGCCATCCCCTTTAATGAGGAATGCGGTTTGGTGGAGTGGCTCCCAAAGTTGAATTCTTTCCGCGCTATTTGCAATTCGGTGTATCGCATGCGTGGCCTAGGTTTACCTGATCGCATGCTGCGCCAGTGCGCGTTACCCAGAACTGAGTCGCTAGAAAAGAAGCGTAGCGTATTTCTCGATACGCTTCTGCCCGCCCATCCGCCAGTATTTCAAGAGTGGTTGCGTCGTCGTTTCTGCACGCCGAACAGTTGGTATGAGGCGCGATGTGCGTACGTGAAAACTGTTGCAGTCATGTCCATGGTTGGCTATATACTCGGACTGGGCGATCGGCATGGCGAGAACTTGCTCTTCGACGAGACAAATGGCGATGCAGTGCACGTAGACTTCAATTGTCTTTTCAATCAAGGAGAGTTGTTTGCATATCCGGAATTGGTACCCTTCCGTCTGACACATAATATGGTCTTTGCCATGGGTCCGTTGGGTGTTGAAGGCATGTACCGACGATGCTGTGAGATCACAATGCGGGTGCTGAAAAAGCAATCGAAAACGTTAATGTCTGTGTTGAGACCCTTCGTCTACGATCTAGTGGCATTGAATCGCAGTTTTAGTGGAAAAAGTAAACCCTCATTGGAGCTGACCGATCCGAAGGCATTGATGGATGTTCGCCGCATTGAGGAGCGACTGCAGGGCTATGTAAGTTACTATAAGGCCTACAACTAAACGACACTTGTAAAAAATACATTTAATTGTAGGTGAAGCGCACTCAGGCCAACAGCATGCCGCTCTCAACGGAGGGACAAGTGAACTACCTCATAGCTGAGGCTACAAGTATTGATAATTTGGCAGCCATGTATATTGGCTGGGGTTCCTATATATGAAATTTAAATTAACGAATAAATATATGTTTTGTTTTTGTATTGAATTAGTTATTAACTATAGGCGCTTGCATATTTTGCATTTAACGCCCGTTTGTATGTTAAGTTTTTTTTTTGTACTGCCTGAGATTTAGGAAAATAAATATGAAATAAAATGAATAAATGAACCTTTTGTTAGCTGTTTGTCAAAACATGGGGTTGTAAATACATACATATGCATGGGGTAAAGCTAGAATTTCAAGATACTAAAGTGCAGTGTCACATTTTCAAAAGTATCCTCCGAATTCCAATTAATTTGAAAAATTAAAAATGTAAAACCTGATTAACAGGTCTATTCTGCGCTGGTAATAAAAAGTTTGTAACCGGTAAATAAAGTTTCTGTAATTTTTTTTGTGTTCTTGTAACCGGTAAATTTTGTTAGCATCTAATAAGCTGGTAAGAAAGTATTGCCCCGTGAATTTGCACAATTCTTCAGAGCTAAATTGTTGAATATTTTAACTGCATTACCAATGTACCTAGAATCGCGGTGACAAGAACTGGTATCATTTTTTGGTAATACAACTTTCCGGTTACAAAATCTTCGGTAACGTGCAGAATAGACCTGTAAAAGCAAACTCCCAAAAACAAAACGTTAAAACGTGCGTAATAAATTGTTTTTTTTTTTCGAATAACTGCAAAAAAGAACGTTCGGAAATGCATCATAAACAATTTTTTTTTGAATAACTGTAAAAAAACGTTTGGAAATGCATTTTTTCATCGAATAATTAAAATGCATTATACATTTTTTTTCTGAATTTTTTCCGATTAACGGCATGACGAGAAAAGGTTAATTACATAAGTGCATTCTGCGAATTTGCATGCGTTCCCTTCCGAACCCAAGTCGAAAACCTGTTTTTTTCCCCGCCATCTGGGAGGTCGGCCAATGGCGTTGAAATTGGAAAAATGCATTCACTACCAGTGTTCGGACTCAACTCTGATAAGAAGTAGATTTACTCTGGTTTTTGAAAAACATTAGTCCGCTTGACTTCATCCCTTTACCGTACCTTTTTTCCATAGTTCACGTGACCACGATAACCAAAAGAATTCACAGTTAAAAAAAAAAACTGCCAACACTTTATTAAGGCCACTCCAACCAGCAGAGGGACTACAAAATGACACATACTATTTTTCCATGGCTACCCTAGAAATGAGATTTCGAGGAATAAAATATTTATAGTTGGCTTAGCTCTTGAAACGTCTTGCGGGGAAAATGGGCGTGATCCGCCCCCTTTCGTATGGTTGCTGTGTAGCCAAATTTTAAAAATATCGCAGTTTTTCAGCGAAGTTAGTTCTGAAAATGGACTATTTTTGTTGTAGGCGCAAATAATCTTGCGCATTTTTATTTGACCACTCATTATTACATATTTAGCCAACGATTTTCTTCATCAGTAACTTGATTTTTTTATTTGTAAAAGAACAGGCTTTAGTACAAATGCAAAAATTTGGCACAGAACCTGTTATTTTTTTGAATTTTTTTATCTGTTAAAGTTTAATTTTTTCATTTTTTCATTAAAAAATAAAAAAGCTGGAATGATGAATTAATTTGTCAGAAACTATAAGCCCTATCGGAAAGTGATGTATACACGGTTTATGAAGAATTTCATTGGCTTTCATTTGCCGTATTTTATATTAAGATTTTTAAATTGGTTCGTAAGATATACTTGATTAAAAGGAACCAATTTTTGCTTTAAGCTGAATAAAGTTAAATTGCAAATATCTCGAAAAAGTATCCATAGAAAATAAAACTAACTCGATTTTCGGAATCACCGAGCAATTCTACATAGGTATTGGATAGTGGCATCCACAGAAAATATAATTATTATTCAAGGACTTATATTATAAAAGTACTTTCATAATAATTATCATTGAGATACAAATTTTTATGTCTTCAAAGACCTTTATTTTGAGATTTATATTATAAAAGTCTTCTCATAATAATTATGAGTGCGAAACAATTTTAAGTTTTATAAAGACGGGCCTTGTTCCGGATCATTTCGGGATTACTTGGGGACCAGCGCGGGGCTAGTTTGAGTCATTTGAGACTTAAAAAATTTTGTTGCGCTTATAATAACTATGAAAACAATTTTATAATATAAGTCTCAAAGTCTTTTGAGGCTTAAGAATATTTATCTTAATTATCTTTATTTTATTTTTTATGAATAAGGCAATAAAATTATAAGAAAATTTTACAAAATTACCTGTGCCAATCTGCCATAGTACGGTTGTTGCTCCCTTCCATACCACAGTAATTTTGTATACAACTCTGAATGATCAAAATTCATCCTCCTTCTCAATATCAACCCTGATCAGACTTTACCACTGGGGAGTGCTCAAAAAGGTTTATTACTACAAAAAGGTTATATACATACATACTGTGCCCCAAAACAACCCAGAAAACGTTCCTCACGCTTGAAAAATGTATAATAGAAAGCGAATTCCTTCCACTTTTGGATCGTAAATGTCTTCTTCTTCGTGCCCGAAACAGCCCAGACTTGCCGGAAATATGCAAGAAGTTAGCTGTTGTTTGTTTACATCCGAAAGCGAATTTTGTAAAATACAAAAATGGAAAATAGCACTAAAGTTTCAGAAATGTATGTAGGTATTTGCTAATTTTATTAGCCATGTAAGATAAATACACATAAAATCATTGTTTAGAGTTGATTTGTTGATTTCGCGCACGAAATGTGGTTTTTTGCGTTCCTCATACTCTGGGCACTTTTGGCACCTGTTGACACATTTTTGACACTTGTGAGAGATAACTATTTTTACGCTCTAATTACCGAAACAGCTCGGAAAGCGTGTGGAACAAAACTATTATCCGAAACGTTTACATGCTTTTTTAAAAATCGCATTATGAAGATTAGTTGTGTTTTTTTACAAATTATCCAGTAACTTGCCAGTAACTCTCCAGTAACTTTATTTCTAAGAATTCGCTCTCATGGAAAAAATTTGCAAAAAAGTACGCGAACGCTTTTCCAGTAATAATTTGCAAGTTTCATGAACAGCTGATAAATTGGTTGTTTATTCGCAGCATATTCCCAATTAAACGATATATTTTATATTTAAATATGTTTGTTTTGAAAATTTCCACAATAAAAATCCACAAACAGTTTCCTTATTAGTTTAAATTTCATACAGCAACATGCGATCAGCTGTTTTTCGTACTGGCAAATTCTTACAAGTAAAAATTTATCCAGTAAAATCCATTAAAAGCTTGCAACTTCAGCTGTCATTTTTCGCTCTCTCAATTTCCCCTACTTTGCAAGTTTTTGCGTACGAAAACGCCAAAACATGAAAATTCGTAAAAACTTTTACTGGATTTTACTGGAAATGAGTAAAAAAACGCAACTATTGTCTGATGTTGCTTTCGGCAGGTTGTGGGAAATCGCGATTGAAGTTTGGAATGCAATTTCTCAAACACGCGAGGATAGAATTTCTCCAAAGTGTCTGAAAATGTTACTAGTTCACAAAATTCTTAAATTATTTAATTTTTAATGTTTATTGTTAATTAGTTTTGAGTTTATGAAGGATTTTTTTTTAGTAAAATTTTGTCGTAAGCGTCATTTGTCCACAATTTGGCAGCCACCATTGTATGAAACACGACAAAGTGTGATCAAAATTTCTACTAAATTAATGACACTTTATACTTACTTAAAACTTACTTACTTATTTCAAAGTATATAACTGCATCTATAACTAAAAATCATCAAAATTGCGCTTACGACAATCTTTTACCCAGGCGACTATATGTACTTTATCAATGTTTTCCATATTAATAAAAAAAGTGTTAGTATTAGTATACGTTTAAATTGAAATTTTCAGAAATTCAATTCAGTTCAATTCAGTGTTTATTGAGTCTATGATTACAAAAAATCTTACAGACTAGAATAAAATTAATAGGAGAAAAATTAAGAACTACACTAGGAGTACACAGATTCCATTAAACTTCTGAAAGACTGCCTATTAATAGAATAATAATCAGCACTTGCACTTTAAGCACAATTTCGACGCTTAAAATGTCACACAAAATAGAAATAAATACACTGACTTTGGCAACATACTAGGTGCAATCCCGTATTCCTCGGACTCGGACTAGTAAAAAATAAAAATAAAAATTCGCTCAGAGCGAGAGAGTAACATTGAAAAGTACGGGATCGCTTTCTAGTAAAAAATGGTAACTTCTGTCAACTTCAACATAACCTCCAAATTTTGGTTGTAAATTTTTGCTTATTTTGTATGTAAACACACTCAGATCATACATGTAAATAACCAAAAATACTTTCAAATTGATTAGAATCCACTTAAACAAGTAATTAAATACTTTTAAACATGAATTAGCAGAGTGCACTTTTCTTTTGGTTGCCAAACACACTACAGCTGATCGTTTTACCATTTACCAGCAAAAAATTCTCGGACTAAAACTGGTAACTTCTGATAGAGNAATAGTCAGAGAACCGAGTACGGGATCGATTTCCAGTAAAATCTGACTGATTCTGACTATTTCTGACTAGTCCGGACTCGTACGGGATCGCAACTACTGCCAGAAAAGCAGTTACCATCTGACACGATTTTTTTTTTTAATTTTTTAGCAACTGTAATAATTTGTGATCAAATCCCATAGTAGTTTTTATTTATAAACTAAAGGGTTGAAAATTCAACTTTATTCCTCTAAATTGAAGTTTTTGACCATAGTGCATCGGTGGCGGCGTGTTGCAACTGTAAAACGCCAACTCTTTATGCAACTCAATGCCAACTGGAATGGCAATAAGAGCAGCAATGCGGAATCGTTCCATCAGCGTATGATGCAGTTGGGCATATAACACAGATTACAATCCGACTTACAATTGCTTGGCCACCACAGCACGGCGCTGCATCGAGGACTCAGCTGGATTCCTTGGCTACTGCTTCGAGTGCGAGGGATTTGGTTGCCTTCATTTCAAATAGCGGTAACTATACATAACTGCTGTTGTAAGTACATGTATGGGTTCGTGTATCGCGCCATGTTTACATACTTTAAGGATGTTGACGTTGGCAACGGTAGGCACATACGCACATGCAAACATACATACATATTTACATACGTACCCTGCAGGGAAA